TTATTTACACGATTTTGTAAATACTTAAAGAAACAATTATTTTAGTTCATCCAGGGCATAGTTTGGATCTTTGTGAATATTTTACAGTTTATTTCAACTCGATAAACACTTAAATAATGCAACGAGGTTCTTTTTTGAAGGAACATGTTTACGTGATAACCACCCGGGTGGAACCCTCTTTAAGTAACTACTGTTCATCTTCGGGCAACACTCGTTTGAATGGATAGCATAAAAATGTTATAGTATTAAACAATTAATTCACACTTGTTGTCAAGTATTTGACACGTTAATTTATGAATTTATTTGTACTTGCCGGATTATAAGGTGCGTCAAAAAGAAACTTGCTATTTTTAGCCGTTTGACTAGTTGTGTATCCTTATTGTAGGCCTACAACGTTGAAGTAGGCGCAGTCTATTGAATATATGGAGGGCTCTTGAGGCACCGTGAAGGCCTCTTTCCTCTTCAAGACGTCCTTCGTTTGTCCACAACTGACTCTTAGCCCCGCAATATCATGAATACACAATACACAATACACATACTTGTGCTGAATACACTTATACGAGAACTTGATCATACTTGTGCTCATTTTACAATTTGTTTTCCAATTTTGCTTGACGGTTTGATCTTTTGTTTCCATAAATCTGATAGTATGTAGATATTTAATAAAACTACTCATTAAGTAGATAAGTATACACCCTTAATTTTAACTTAGCTTAAAGTATGCGACGCTCTAATAACTGAAAACCTAATACTTTAGTTAAATGAACTTGGATTATCTTGAATTTTTGTAAGCATATTGCAGAATTCGAACGTTACATCAAGTTCACAATGACGATTATTCAAAGCAGACAATTTTCTTTTTTTCATGATAAAAATTTTTATCATGATTTAGGTAGGCTAGTTAAATTATTACAACACTACACAAAAGGAGATAAAGTCGTAAAAATGTTCACCAAATTTTGCTAATTTTTATGTTTGTGAAGAAGTTATTAGCTTACAAGGAACCAATGCCAACGACTATGTTAAGAAAATATAGATATTTAAGAGTTGCATCGTAGTCAATTATTTTTAACAGTGATTTTACAACTCTTTCACGCTTTAAAAACATTTTTCTATAGACAAATATTTTTTTATTCAGTCGTATATAGGCCTTTCACCCGGTCAAAAAAATTATAGATGGACTAAATGTTTGTTTACCTCATAAAAAAGGTTCCACATTACCTTTAAGGATTCCCTGCACTAAACAATGTCTGTGTTATCAAATTACAAAGTTTTGAGGTACACAACGCTGAAAGCCTTGTACAAAAAACTAGTCTGATGCGAAGTTATGACCACAACAAACTATCCAGGCAACTTGGCTCTTGCTTCTCGCTGAATTGTTCATGTTTTGCCATAAATACATCAATACAATTGCTCAGCCAATACAAACTCCCCTTTGTGTTTCGACTGTTTGTTGATCTAACCACTCAAATTTAATTTAGGCATTGTTTTATTCAGTGTTTTGATATGTGACGATTTCTATCTAGGCGATTTGCATATCAAAGTTTCCTGTTAAAATGTAAAAAGCTATAGTAGGCATTTACCAAATTTTGTGTGTTCGTAAAGCACAATTCTTTGTTGATTAGAGAAAAAAAGTTAGTTCAGTTTGGAACACATGTCCCCTTGGTCATTACAAAGTAGTGATCGGTACTGATCTATATTTCAATTATGTACTCCTCACCAGTGACAAAACATTGTGAAATTGTTAACAGTGTTTCCGATTCGCAGTGCAATATGAGTGTAATAAAGTAATGAATATAAATTTGTTCTTAGAGGTATTTTTAAATTTTATGCTGTAGTGATTCGTAGAATGCCGTGTATAAATGTTCCAATTTTAGAAATTCCTCATGCAAAAAACATATTGCATTTTTGTATTTCTAAATAACCCTTACTTTGTGACATCATAATCGTTGATCTACTCACCTATAACTTTATTATAAAAAACAAAGTTTTTCAATAAGTGACAATATTTTGCTCAAGATAACACTCACCAACTACATTTAAGTTTTAAATCGATCCGAGTCTTGATGAAAAATCGGAAGCACGAAAGAAAATGTCATTAACGAGAACAAAACCCGCGGCGACGACACAGCCGCTAAGATGCGGTGAGATTGATTATAGCTCGATTGAACCTAAGTCCTTCCAGACTTACCGTAATCTTTACAGCAATTTCTTATCTTTAAGGGTATTTTTTATTTTACTTCAAATCGTCTACAAGGTTTCAAATCAAGCCTTAAGCTAATTTAGATTTTTCCACATTTTTAAAGCACGTAATGTTTAAATATTTATTTAAAATATATTTTTTGTTGTGATGAGTTGATGTTTTTCTCGGTCGATTTCCATTTTGCCAATACTCATAGGGCCTGAAATCTGTTTAATAAGTACTGTCGCGCAAATTAGAATTTGGTTTCCATATCCAGTTAGTTCATGACAACTTTGAATTTTTTGTGACAAAAATACCAATTTCCAAAAATAAACAAGTAAAAGTATCGAGGAAATTTTCGTTCTTGAAATCCATTTGATAATGTGAATTAGGCATAATTTTTCTTATCCCACTAATGCTTGAAAAGGTAAGGAAGTTTACAAAACATTTGGCAATTTGAATTTCGTCTCATACTCATATCCTCTCGCACTGTCAGCCATGTTGTTTTGTATATTTTTTTTCAATTAATCAATAGTCAAAGTCAAAACTTGTAGATAGCTATGCGACAAAGCATACCTGACTGGCAATGAAGACATGTATTCCAAAATATAAACTTGTTTTATCGTCAAGTGTCTTTCAGCACGTGTAATTTGGATTGCGTTTTTAAAAAGTCACCCTGAGTATTCAAACTATCCCTCACCACCTCTATTCAACCAGATGTCGAGGGCAATAGATGTGAAAGTCCATTTCTAGTCCCCAAGACTCCAGAACTTTGACTCCAGCAACTCCACCGCGGTCACATGACCTCTGGCCAGGCGTGTGTCATTATGTCTGTTTAGGGCACGAGTCGGCGATTTCAAGAACGGTTGGAATTAGCCACAAATAACAGCGTGTCTCCAGTGCATGCTAACCACTTTCTTGTCAACGCCAGTGTGGATTTGACTTTCGTATTTTCTAATTACATTCAGGGAAATTAATCAAGTGAATGTACGTGAAAACGAATTAATTGTTTGAGAGATGGTTGGATATTAATCGTCATGGTTGTTCATAGTGTCTTCCATGCAAAAACTAAATTTATTTAGTTTATAGCTACAAAAGATTGTTATTTAATTAGAGTAATAGTTGTCATATATAAGTTGTAAATTAATCCCTACTTACAAATGTAACACTAGTCTGTACAAGGACTTATGTTTGCTGGAATACGAGAAATTGTTTAACTGTTGTACTACATAAAATGTATATTTTCTAGAAAGTTTTCAGTTTTTTAAGGAAAGCCATTGAATGAATTTCGTCCCATAAGAAGAAAGTTAACTTTGGGTTACCATCTCTTTAGCAAATCGTCATATAATCATGGCTGAGGAGTTAAATTAAATGCAGTCTTCTAGAGGTTAGCGTTTTTTATTTTAGAATTTTTGAATCAAACACACTTGTATATGATCTTAGAATTATAAACTACACTTTAACACATTATATCTTTGTTTGTCCACTAATTCATTGCATCTAGCTTTGTGGGACGTTCACTTATTTTTCAAAACTTATAAAATATTTGAACTCCACTAGTCTCCAGCTTGGTAACTTTGTATCTATACTGTGGTGAGGTTATTGAATTAATTACCTATGTAGCCCAAGACTAGCCAATCGGAACCTTACAATACAGCTGTTAAAATAACAATCACGTGTTTAGCTATTCAAGTCATTTAACACTTGCACTATAGTGAATCCCTTACACCTTTCTGTGTTTAAACTGTTACAAATTCTCCTGAAAAGTTTCTTTTCCTTTAATAAAAACAGTTAACCACTTATTTTCATCTGCTCTTAAATGTTCTTTGACAATCGCGATTAAGTTAGTCACAAAAGCAATTTCAAGTGGTTCTGTCCCGGATTGTAACACCGAAGGCGCTATGATTAGTTCACCTGCAAAGTCAAGAAAGGGCGGTGACTTCCGTTTGCATATCATCTTAATAAGTTTCCAAATGAGTTCTGTTGTTTACATTTTGTGTGTGAGTCGTTCTTTAAAAATATAAATACAAGGTTTTAGATCGTTTATATCGTAATGTGTTTATTAGAGTAATAAGACATGTTCAGAATTTATTTTTATGATTTTAGAACATCGCTAAAACAATAAATGTTTTACTTTTACTTGTTTAAATAAAGACACCACACTGTTCAAGGTAATGAAGAGACATCAAAATGCATAGCAAGTAAATGTTGTTATGCTTAATAAGTTCGAATTCTTTTACCAACATTCAGTTGTAAAATAGTTCATTGTAAAATAGTGCAACGGCTAATAATATTCTTAACCAATATTTATAACAACTAATTTTGATTGAACAACATTAATCGAAGAACAAGTATGACGGTTTTGATCAAAAAGAAAAGGACATTTTACACTCCTAGGTTTTCACACGCATAAATTTCATTGAATATTACTACTCAACAATCAAAAGTATACAAATCTGGTCATGGTTATCTTGGCATATGAGTTATGAGAACATTTTTTAGTCGTACACCAAAACACGAAATGGTTCAGCAATTCCTGTATGTTAAGAATCCTGAATACATTAGTATAATACACAAAAATCCATCGGTTGATCTATTAGCATAGTGTATGATGGTGATGACCAACCCCCACTGGCCTACTGTCGATGTATTCAATCATCCCTAGAAGGAACCAGTGTCCTTCAATTGACTTGTAATCTCTGAGAATCGGTGAAACTTGAATTCCATGTCAAAGAAATAATACTTGCACCTAATCAGCCCATCCACCTATTACTGGATAGTTTAATGTTCTCCCTCTCATATTCATTTTCTTTTCCAGCCGGAGGAGAACCGCGCCCTGAGGTTGAAGGATGGGTTGGTGGCGCTAGAGCCGTCGGAGGGGTTCCCCGACACGTCGCTGCCTACAGTGATACACCCCGGAGGCGGCACGGGGGCGGCAGCTCTAGCAGGGGGAGGTATCGCCTGGAACTACTTTGACGAGCGAAGCTACGTCGCGGGCGGCGCCCTCAGGACGGGCGAAGACCCTTACAACCGCAACAAGTTCAACCAAGCTGCGTCCGACCGTCTGGCTAGCAACAGGGACATCCCTGACACAAGGAATCCTGTGTAAGTAGAAAAATATATATCAGATTACTAAATCATAATTTTTCAGTGTCTTCATTGTCTACAAAAAGTGAAATACTATATTTTTGGGAAAAGGGGTCGACCGAGTAGGCAGTCCCCCTAAACCCTTGGTTCAAATGCAAGTACTTTGAAGAAAGGTTCCTCCGATACGTTAGTTTGGGTTTTAGCATAAAACTGTATAAGACTCCTTCAATCCTCAAAGTACATCTATGTACAAATACTTCAGAAAATTTTGAAAAAAATATTTCTGCCACATTATTTTGTTTTAATTTACTTTCTATGTGTGTTTTTGGTCGACAAAAAAGCTGTTTGCCGCCTGCTTGATAAAATGGGATTTTATTTCGTTCTGTAGGGCAATGAGTATTTCCGGACACCAGCTCAAACATTAATAATTTTACTTGATAAACTTGTTTCTATGCAAGTAAAAAGGCTGTCTTCATAAAATCTCCAATAATTCCTGAAGCAGGGATTAAACTACGGTACTAAATCGATATGTCATTTCATGCTTTTCAAGAAACCCATATTGATCTTGTAAGAAGTGTATATTTAGAATCCTCATTTATATGAAATTTAATAAGAAAATACAACTTCTTTCATCCAATTGCTGAGGCAACCTTTTAAGGTTGTCAATCAAACTTTTAATGGTTTCGGGACTTTTCATCTCGCTTAGGAAAACATTTAAAGAAAATTGGCGCACATGGAATATCTTGTTTTACTTTATTATTTCTGTGTAACTAATTTTGTTCTGAGATTTCTTCGTTCTGCTTATTACATCGTAGCCGTTAAAGTTTTGTTATTCGTTATTAGCAAAATTGAACTTACTTCTAAAATATACTTAAGTTAACTTAAGTTTTTTTTCAATTTAGACATTAAAAATTGTTTCTGCTAAATCCGTCAGAATCAGGGTAGGAAAATAAAATATGGCATGTCATTTAACTGACATAATGGGATCTGAATTTTTCTAAGCTAGTGTCAAATTCGAAATTTAGTTTGATCTACTGGTATTGTTTAGCCTATAGTAGGTGCTGATGCTGACTTCATCTACTCATGAGATATAACCTATTTAGATAAATAACTGAGGTTTGCAAGTTACAGACAATCTTCATTTGTAGAAAACTGTAGAAATCCTTACAAGATTTTTTTGTTTTATTCTCTAACACGATTATGGATTTACAAGGATTCGAAAATATACATAAAACGCAATAATTTGCATCAACTGTTCTACAGACCTCGTATTCTCTGGGATATTACAGACACGAACTGGCCGGCCTCAGGGTCAGAAGTGATAGAATTGTTGGTCAAGTTGAAACTAGACACTTTCTACATTTCTACAACTCTTAATGTCTACCAGTTTCATTCAATTTGGAAAACCTACCTAGCAATCACAGCGTAATTATTAGGAGAGCTTGCGGAATTTCAATCTAAGATCTCTTTTTCGAAATATTTCTTTTTTGGTCGAACTTTCGCAATTTAAGTTTAATAATACGAAGTCCCCATAGTTTTTTATCACTTATAGTTTTTTTTTTACCTGAAAAAGGTTTTGTGTTTTCCCTTCCTTAATCACTTGGCCTCTAGAATGTAAATCAAAATTTATTTAGGGTCAAATAAAAACAAAATTTAAAGTAAAAAAAACTGAATGTAATTTATTAAATTGTTTTTGAGTGATTACAATCACATACAAAAATACTATTTAATTATTTTTCAAACAATTGAGACAAAAATGAAAGTTCATTCGACAGTTAGCATAAATAACGGACAGGGATAACTGAGGTAGCTGATGTCTACTCGCAGACAACAAAATTCAATTCGTCCCTTATTTAGACTGTCTAATGCAATTTGCAGGCCCACGACAGTGCTTTCAACTTGTTAGATCCCATGATTAATGCATAACTTCAACACCCTCTGGACACGGTAAAATTAGATTTGATTACTAAATTGTAATAAAATCCGCATGTTTTTTAGTAGGTAAGATTTTAGATATCGAAAAGGTTCCCCTTTAAAGAGCTCTCCTCCTCCATTTTTTTTTTATTTTCCTTGTACGTTTACTTGAACGTATTGCATAAGTATTGAGGTTCGCTCTGAACCAGAGGTATCATATAGCTAAAAGGTGTGAGCTCAAATTTATTGGTGGAATGAGTTTTTTATCCTAGCATCAAGATATTTACGTCGAAAGGGGTTTATTTGTAAGTCAAATTTAACCAGAATCAATCAAATATACACATATTGTGTTTTGTTTCGCTTGGATAAGGTTGGATCAAAGTGAGTACCAAGTCCACTGTAATTCTAAATACCCCGCCGCAGCATACTAAGCGAATTTCCATTTGCTTGATTGGGTTTACACTAAAATGCCTTCTTAAAAATATCACATTTTTTCCCTATATAAATAGAATTAGTTTAACGATTACTTAGGTTTGCTCAAACAGGGAGGGTAAAAGTGTGCTTTTTGTGTTAATAGTTCAGAAATCAATAAATGCATTTTCCAAATTTGATCAAAATATGTTGATAAATAAGCAAAACTATAACAGTTTTTAAAATTTGAAAAGAAATTGCTAAATTTTATGTTTTTTTGGGTCAAAAATGGAAAACCAACTTTTACCCCGTAAAACTCCCCATAAACCCCCGTTCCCATAGTCTGATCATGCTGGCTCGGGAACTCGTTCGAATAAATGTAGGTTTGCACGTTTATATCAAATTACGTAAAAATCTGATCATTTTTGCTCGAGTTATCATGCTAACATACATATATATGAATTTGAACGGATTGTGTTTTTGGCCTCTAGGGACCTCGAAACGAAAAAGTAAATCGGTCCCGGGTCCATGTCTTACCATGAGTACTACGGTAATAGCTTATTTCCTATATGGTAAATTCAATAAAAAATAACTGCCACGTAATTTGTTTTTCTTATCTTACTTATTTAATTTCCTAAAGTAACAGACTTGTTACTTGACTCGCTGATACAACGTTTTATCTGTTTACGAGATGGACATAAACAATTCATCTGAGAGAATAGAGCCAAGCCTGTTGTGGTCATAACTTTGTATTAGACTTGTGTAGGTCCTCGGAACTTGGTAATTTGATAAGGCTATGTAGAAACTTCGCCGTTGTTTCTAGTGTGTAAAAACATAAGTTGGGGTAAGAGAATGTTATTATACTTTCGTGAAGAGTTTTTAAATAGCACCACTGCTTTCCGTGTGTTTTTGGACAAAAGTGTTTTTTTTTTTTAAGGAAGATAATATTTTAAAATAATAAAACATTATATTATGTATAGATTTAGTATTTGTTTTGACGTAGAAATCTAACTCGTATACTATAACATAAATAAGGTGTTACTGTTTATTAGATTTTTTCCAAAGCTACTGTTTACAATTTACTTATGAATTATTACAGCTGTATTTTTATTTTTAAGAAGAAGCTTAAGTCAGATGAATTAATTATGTAATGAATTTAAATATTGTATATTCAAATTGGTTCACAAAAATTATTACTTAGCTTATGTAAGTTACGAAATATAAACATTCTATAAACATTACCCGACAAATCATGAGCTAGATTTGATGGGAAATCCGTTTAAAATGTATATATAAAGCTTTTAATATTTATGTTCAATTGAGGAAAGATGATGTTACACTCAAATTTAATTTCAAGAGCCGTAACCTTATGTATATTTTATCCTCGTTATTATTCATTGGTCCCTTGATGTTTTCTTATTGGAAAGTTGGTAATCCATTTTCCCTAACTACCTTGATAACCAAGTATATTGTGTAAACTGTTGAATAAGTGAACGCTTTTGGCATCTTAAGTCGAAAAATAACAAAACTCCATTTTACGAGTACCTCAATCACCTAAACTAACTAAAGTCAAACTTAAGTCAAAATACAATTGCTTATTTTCACACCACTTGAGCGTTGATTTTATCCTCTTTGGTTTTCCTACTACCAATTTATTCCTGAACGCTTAGAGATATTATTTAAATTTGTATTTATGTTTTTAATATTTTTGAACTGACCCCCAATAGGATTTAATGTGACATTTTTTCTTGGATATTTGACTGCAACATATACTGGATGTAGTATAAACAGTCAAACAAGTATTGATTTAATTTGTACTTCCCTTTACAACGGAGCGTATTTTCTAAAAAGAGCCTCAAATATTTTTGAAGTATTTAATCTACGTCTAATTGTTGTTTCAGTTGTATCCTACGTGTTTGTTAAATTACACTAGAGGTCGTCCAGTGGTCGAAAACTCGACCAAAGATATGTATCATAATGTACAGATTTCCCTACTGTCACCCCAGACTGTAAATAAGTCATGTGATTGGAATTTCTTTAATTTGTTTTGATTTTCTGTTGTTCTGTTTCTATATTGCGTTGTTATTTTGTCACCAGCAAGGCAACCCCTAAGGCACATGTTAATTTTTTTATTTTAAATTCATTTTTGTGCTTTTTTAGCATATTATCATTTATAAAGGGATTCTGCACACCTGCAGGAAAATATCTTTCCAACATGCGTAGATTTTCCCTGCAATGCACACGAGATGAGAAAAATGGTTTAAAGAAACATCCTTGCCTAATATATAGATTATGTGCACTCAATATCAATTATTTAATTGGCTTAAACAACTAAAGTGGTGGTTTGCCGAGATAATCTTTCAATACAAAGCTTTTTACAAAAAAATCCTTATTTATGTTGGATTTTGCGGCTTTTTATTGCCATCCACAAATGCCTGAATGGCGTAACTAATCCAGTGTTTCTTCGTGTATTTTTAAAGTTCTTTGTACCTTCATTACAGATTTTTAATCCACTAACTTATTTCAATGAAACAAACCAAGCTCTCAGCATAAAGGAGTTGTAAAGAGGGTAGGCGTGGTAGGTAAGTTTATGTATGCCAAGGTCTAAGTTAAAGGTATATAACCCACACAATGCACTATCAGTTCCGCATTATGTGCTACACGCCTTTACCTATATTAAGTTCCAATATGTT